CTCTCAGTGTCAAATGCAGAAATGTTAGTCCATGCGTTTATGACCTCAAGGTTATATTATTGTAATGCTTTATTGGGTGGTTGTTCTGCATGCTTAATAAACAAACTCCAGCTGGTCCAAAATGCAGCAGCTAGAGTTCTTACTAGAACCAGGAAGTATGACCATATTAGCCCGGTTCTGTCAACACTGCACTGGCTCCCTATTAAACATTGTATAGATTTTAAAATCCTGCTAATTATCTATAAAGCCCTGAATGGTTTAGCACCTCAGTACTTGAACAAGCTCTTATCGTATTATAGTCCTCCACGTCCGCTGCACTCTCAAAACTCTTGGCAATTTGATAATACCTATAATATCAAAATCAACTGCGGACGGCAGATCCTTTTCCTATTTAGCTCCCAAACTCTGGAATAATCTACCTAACACTGTTCAGGAGGCAGACACACTCTGTCAGTTTAAATCTAGATTAAAGACCCATCTCTTTAACCTGGCTTACACATAACACAAACATTTCTATTACTCAAATCCGTTAAAGGATTGTTAGGCTGCATTAATTAGGTCAACCAGAACTGGGAACAGGTTTGGAATGCAGTGGACTTATATATTTAAAATATGAACCTCACTAACAGAAGGCTGCTTTCAATTTCAAATGCTGATGCGCGCTTTGTTTGTGAAGACTGCTCGTGCATGCGGCTGTGCGCAACTCCGTGTTAAGTGGTTTAAATTCACTTGCGGCTCAAAATGGTTTTATGATGCAAAATTAATGTAAACACAGCCAGTTATGTCTTAAGGGATTAAACGGACAGGACAAACCACATTACTTCTTATATTTCAAGAGATCTGTGCGTGAATGCAGCTTAATAGATCTCCCATTATTTGCTACTTGCTTGTATGTTTTGAAGTTATATTAGTTTCAAATTCTTAACATACAACTGTTTTAATATTTTCTTTTCAATTTGTAATTATTTTAAAAAGTACTTAATTACTTATGTAAGGATATGTAAATGTAAGGATTTTAAGATTCTCAAGTCGGTTAACTAATCAAATAATAAGGGGGAAAAAGTAGATCAATAATCATTCTGGAATCGGATCGTGACTCCCAGAATCGGGATCGGTTCATGAGGTGACTAAAGATTCCCACCCCTAGCATTGACACACTATTTTCCTATTTGATACTGTAAAGTTGCTTTGACACAATCTGTATTGTTAAAGGGGTGGTTAATTGCGATTTCACTTTTTTAACGTTAGTTAGTGTGTAATGTTGCGGTTTGAACAAACAATATCTGCAAATTTACGATGCTGAAAGTTCAATGCAAACGGAGATATTGTCTTTTAAAATTCTGGCAGTTTAATGCCTACAAAAACGGCTGGTAGGGACTACAACAACAAGTTACTTCCCGGGTTCGTGACATAACAAACCTAGATAAACCCTGCTCTCGGGAAAAGGCAGCAAAGGGGGCGAGGCCATGCTGCGCTGCTTTAGAGAAGAGGAAGAGAAAACTAGAAGTGCACGTAAAAGTCTATTCATATATGAATCGTGAGTCTGTCTTCTAACGATTCTAACGGATTCACAAGTTTCTAAACCAATGTTCTAAAGCAGCGGTTCTTAATACTGTTCCTCGCGTTCCCCTGCTCTGCACATGCTCTCTCTCTCTCTCTCTCCCTCCCTCATTCAGCTCAGCTCCAACAATGAACTTTTCAATTATACACTTATTTTCACATAGCTATGAGAAGCGTGCAGTTGCCGTACTGTATTAAAGCTTTAATCAGGATAAAAACATATATTAAAAGCTTACATAAGCAGTAGCATTCACAAATAACAGCGTATTTAAAAGTATGAGACAACAACAAACAAAATGGTCTACCATTAAAAGCCATGCTTGCACAGGTTCTGCATGATCCTCTTCAATAATATCCTCTGCATCTCAATCGGGCTCAAACTGATAAGCGATATTAACGATATCGTTGTTTACAATACAAACGGTGCCTGAACCGATACTTATTAAAAAATAAAAAAATAAATAAAAATTCCCCCCAGAAATGATGGATTGGCCATTAGAACAGAAATAGAATAGAGAGTGCAAATGTTAGAGGGTCAAGTTTTTTAATAAAAA